TACCTTCCTTTCCGGCGCCCTGCCGGAAGCCTACCTTCCTTTCCGGCGCCCTGCCGGAAGCCCACCGACCAGTGTCATGTCAAAAGCTCCCTTCTTTTCCTCACCGCCGCCCACCACCCTCGCCCACCTTCATCCACCCTCACCCCCTACCCACACCCACCCTAATGACCCAGTCCCACCATGCGGGTTGCTGCGCAAGAATCATTCTTTCGAGACCAGCCCGCAGAGAAAACATACACTTGGCACAGAGCAAGCTCAGAAGGTGTCAGGAACCGATGTGCTGGGCCAATGCGAGCGTTGTGAACCACTGAAAAGAGTTGTAGGCAACATTGGTTCCATGGAGCTTCTGGTGCTGCTTCAATCAAATAAATATATATATATGTATATATATTTCCCCCATATACATATACTCTAATATATATATATATATATATATATTTATATTTATGCTAGGTTGTATGATTGCGCGTATTTGGGCTTAAGAAATATAATATACAGACACACGCACACGCAGACTTTCAAGTCGTTCGTCGTCCAGTCCAGCAACGAAAAGAGCATGGTGTAACGATTCATCGTATCGTTTTACGTTTTGCGATGCAACCTAGTTCTCAAAAAAGGTGAGCGTTGGTATATTTGTTCAAGTCGTTCAAGGTTTTCTCACCGTCTCACCACTACCAACAAGAACACCGCATTGACATTAACTTGTCGACACCGACACCTGTTCGTTTGTCAACCTGGTCTTTCCTGCGTGTTAGTTCTGAGTTCCGAGTCCACCATGGCAACAAACGCTAATCTTGAGTAGGGGGGCGTTCTCTCACTCTTTCACTATAGTGCAATGCGTACTGTGACTGACAATTACACAATTTTGCGCGTTAACGCTTAACGTCTCACCCCTTGTAGCTTGCGGGGCTGGTAAGCACAAACAAAACATTGGATTCCTTTGGATTGGCTTTCTTAGAAGAACACACACTCCGCACTTAACAAGCATCACCAAAGCAGCTCTCGCACGCACTCAAATGCCGCGGGCACAGGGGCGGAGCCAAAATCCCAAGGTCTCGTTCAGGCTGTAGGACATGGAGGCCAGAGCCTGAGTGCGACTCGCTACTCGCACGATCTTCTGACACCCAGCAAGCGTAAGCGCGTGGCAATCATGATAGGCAACCATTGCGGACGACCCAGGCTCAAGGGTATCCGGAGTAGACTCGTGGAGATGCTGCCCTTGAGGTGTTGCAACACTTCCTTCACCAAGCATTCCAGAACCGCGCGCCATTCTGAGTGATTGCACTCAGACGCCATGTCATGGCAGGCTGCTGTGGGATGTGAGCTGACGCAGAAAGTATTGGAGTCGAAACTTTGGGGCCTGAACATGTCTTCCAAATCCAACCAAGGTCTATGTCTAAGTTCGTGGCTTTGAAGTTGGTCCAGTGGTTGGTGCTGGCGCTGCATTGAACCTGTTCAACTCTGACTCCCTGTCCTGTTTGCGGTGTTGTCAGCTGCAAAAAGGTGGCAACGCATCATGGGTCATATGTGATTCACGCCAATTCATACCTGAATTGTTCGTTAGTGCGCGGGGCCAAAGTAACTTCTTTCCAGCCTACACATGCACGAACGGATAAAACTCAAGCGTCAAGGAATATCCAAACCGCACACTTGGATATTTCAAGGGTTGCTGTCGAGTCCTTTCTCCTGAAAAAACAAATGAAACTTAAGGTCCAAGTAGGCGCCCCCAGCACGTTTAAAGCAAAAATCGGTGTGCGTGGGCTCTTCGACACACTACGTGCAGCTCTTTCGGCTTTCTCAGTGGCCTATATATGCTTTTTTGAATTGAGAGGCGGCCATTGGGACTGTTGCCTCATCTTCAAAACGACCCATCGATGGGGTGTGGAAAATCACACCCTTGGCGGAACATCGTTGCCAAAACTGATGCGTGCTTGAAATCGCGCCCCCCAAAAAAAACAAATGAAAAGGGCATGTTTCCAAAAACCTTCTCAACTTCAAAAGCTGTTTTGGAGCAGCGCACCACACTCATAGGGCATGTGTTCAGAAGTCTTCTCAAATTCAAAAGCTGGTTTGGCGCAATGCACCACACTCATATTTCCAGTTATTTTGCGCGTTCTCGTTTTCAAAAGCGATGCGTTTAAATTGGAATGAAAGTGAATATCTGCAGCTACAGGCAATCGCGCGAAACAAAAACATCAAAATCCTATTTTTTCTTTGGCAAAATCTCTCCCAATGAGTTGCCTGAAAGGACGAAATGTTTGTTTGCAGTGGCTATCCATGTCTACTCCAGCCCGAAGATACCTTTCCGGCAGGAAAACGCGTGAAACGCCGGAGAAGTGGAGGGGACCAAAAGAAACGACGTATGTTCACGTACTCATCCATCAAAGATTGAACTTCCAAGACAGGAGTCAGCAAGTCCACTGTTGAAGGTGTCAAGACTTTGAGGTTGACCTTGTCTAAGGATTTGCACGTCAGCATCTTGGCTGCCTTGGACACCGTGCCACCGGCATTGATACTTGTCATTGATGACTCCATCCATGAATAGACATTCTGAGTGACATAGATTGAGCAGGCCTTGCAGATGACGTCTGCAATCTCTTGTTTTGACTTGTCACACAAGGACAAAAGTCTATCGTTGGTAGCCTTTGGAATCGCATCTGTGAGCGCATCAGAAGAGTCAACCGCAAGGGTTGTGAACGCACCCCAATCATCGCTGATGGTGGTCTCAATCAGAGTCTTGAGTTTCTTGCAGCAGGAAATCAAATCATCCATGGACTCTTCCTCCTTTGCGCGTTTCTCTGATGATTCTTGTGCAAGTTTCAGCAATGCCTTTCCTTGTGCAATTCCAAGAATCACCGCAGCGAGGCCTCCATCTGAAAGTTTGGTATCAGTCCCTTTGCTTCCCTTTTGCAAATCGTTCACACCTCGAATGACATCCTCTGCACTAGACTGTTCATAGTGCACAACAGCTGAGAAACTTTTCAAAGTGTTGGTCAAGCCCTCATCAGTATTCACAAAGTCCTGCACAGAGAGATGTCAATCAGGCTCGACAATGGAGAGAGAAGCTCATCTGTCCATTTGTCCTTAGTGAACCGTGTTGACATCAATGTACAATTTGAATCTGTCTAAGTGTGGTGTGTTTTCATACATGTGTGTGTGTCCCTTGACCACTAACTGATGTGCGTCCAAATGTCTTTGGACACGTTCAGCCCTCGCAACAACCTCTGAAACACTTCATTGATCAT